ATGGAAGAACTGAGCATCTGTGAAGCAGCCTGCTTGGCCGTTGCCTTGCCAGTGAAAAAGGAAACTGCAAAACCCAGTCCAGTGCCAACAGAGCAACTCTGTTACTACTCATTGCATGATCAACGTTCGTCAGTGACAGTGGGTGCCCGTGGCTTATGGGACAGTGGCATTCAGGCTGGTTGAAGGCAGCTGCTCCAATGTTGCCAGCAAAACCACGGTACTGATCCACCAGGGTTGATTCTTTTTGGAATCTGATTCTCTTTGACTTGGCTGTAAGCCAGGCATCGCTTTTGTTTACGGAGAGAAGTTACTGGGCACAGCAAGGTTACGTTTGCTCTGGGTGGTGCCTGGGCTTATTCTTGCAAGAGGAACAGGTCAGTCACGCTCGTGGGTCTCTCCACCAGACGGTGCTGACCAGTCCCTGTAACACTCAAGCTGGCTTGGGCATCACCAGTCATGGCTGTGGCTGGAGTAAAGCCGACTGGACTGTGTTCTCCCTGCATCAAAGAGTGTGTTGGGGGAAAGGACCAGCTGCACTTTAAAGCTCATTTTTTTCTGTTGGTTTGTTCTGGCTTAGCCTAGAAGAGGTGTTGTATGAACTCCTGCAGAGAGCCAGGACAGCAGCCTCTGCCAGTATCCGTGTGCTGGCTCTCTGCAGCTCTTGGAAGATCTGTTTATCAGGGAAGAACAGGCACCTAGTGTGGAGCTGGTCAGAGCCCTGCTGGGTTGGATGGAGAGCAAGGAGGGACCCCTCTCAGTTGGCACAAACCTGCTGGCCCCAGCACTTTTCTCTGAGAGTGTTATGCCAGGAAGGATTGAACTGCACTTTCTCAGAAACACAACTCCTCAGGCAACTGCTGGCTTCATCCTTCCAGACCTCACTTCAATTCCTTAAATAAAGCTGTCTCTTTCTCCTTGGGCTGTTCATTTCCTTCCTACACTGAGCACTTTGTCACTCTGTGTGCTAATCCTGAGCAATTTACCACACTGCCCACAAGGTGAGTATGCAGGGTGTTTTCTCATGTCCTGAAAAGCACAGTGCATGCCACCATGGAGTGGCTTTGCTTGCAGAGGTACCTTATTTCACACCTTCAATGCCATCAGCACAGATGAATTAATTTTAATGTTGTAGGAGAGTTTGCTGCCACAGGGGCACACAAAGGTGAAGGTTATATGTAGCGATATACCAGTCTGAGGGCAGGTTTGGGTTCCAGCCTCCCTGCTGCACTGTGTACTCTCAATTTTTTTCTGTTGGTATTTGGTTTTTATTCTCACAGAATTGTTTAGGTTGGAAGGGACCTCTTGATCATCTAGTCCAATCCTGCTCAAGCAGAGTCACCTGGAACAGGCAGACCAGGACTGTGTCTATTTGGGTTTTCAGTATCTCCACAGTTGGAGACGACTCGGTGTCTCTGGGCAACCTGTTCCTGAATTTGACCACCCTGACAGTAAAAAGGTGTTTTCTTGTCTTCAGATGGACTCTCGCGTTTCAGTTTGTGCCCGCTGCCTCTTGTCGCCGCTGGGCACCACTGAAAAGAGTCTGGGTCCCTTTTCTTCATTCCCTCTTATCAGATACACACATTGATAAGATCCACCCTGAGCCTTCTCCAGGTTGAACGGTCCTAGCTCTTGGTCTCTCCTCATACAAGAGATGTTCCAGTCCCTTAGTTATCTTAGTGGCCCTTTGCTGGACTCTCCAGTATGTCCATGTCTCTCTCGTACTGAGGAGCCCAGAACTGGACGCGGCACTCTGGATTTAGAGAGGAAGGATCACCTTCCTTAACCTGCTGACAACATTCATCCTAAGGCAACCCGGGATGCTGTTGGCTAGGGTAAGGTTTGCTGCCAGGCTCTCCCACATACCCCAGCCAGGACATTGCTTGGCTGTAGGAGTTGGAATGGTGGGATTTATGTCAGGGAGCAACGGCAGAAGCTGAACATGCCCTTGGAGGAATCTGATGAAGCCATAAAATAAATCTTCATGCCTCTATTCTCCAAGCATGGGTCCTGGATGCCCCTCTTGTGGTATGACCAATGATACAGATGTGTAAGGAGATGTGTAAGTCCAGCAGCAGGGGAGCCGTGAGCTGGCTATGCCTACTGATCCCTGACCTCGGTGTGCAGCTTGCAGGATGCAGTGCTTCTGACCTGTGGGTATTGGCACTGCCAATGTCCCCAGCAAAGCAGGACCACTTGTAACAGAAAATGCTGATGTGCCACACAGAATGGGGCTAGTGGTTTAGTTGTTCCTCACACCCCAATACTAGAAGCTGGGTTCCAGCTTTGTGAGCACCTTCCAGAGCACCAGGATACCGTGGCTGGTGTAAGTGTGCGATTGATTGCGCGTGGTGCATGAGGGAATGTTTGTCTATAAGGCAGCATCTGGGAGCCCCAACAGTTATTCCTGGGTTCCTCTGAGGTGACAGCTCATAGGTGACCCATGACTACTCTGTTTGGGGCAAGAAGAGGAGGATTTCCAGGGAAATGCGTCCTATGGCTGGGGAGGGTGGGGTTTATGTAAGTAATAAATCTAAGATTACTGTAGAGCTGCTGGTTTTGGTTGGATTTTTTTTTTTTTTTTTTTTTAGCAATGTGGCAGGCACTGCCCAGCTGGTGCGGATGATTTTGGGACAGCCTCAGTGGGATACAGGTTTCCTCTTTAATACCTGTCCTAGGCCGTGTGCTTCTGGCATGTATCTGCTTTTAGGCAGCACAGTCCAGCTGATGAAGTAGATCGTGCATAGAATTTGCATGAAGGTAGCAAAATGCTTTTTTTTTTTGCTTCCTTTGGAAATTCAACCCACCTGCCCGCACTGGAGAGGCCAGCCTTCTTCTGGTTGAGAGCACCTTTTCCCCGTGAACACGTGTGGGCAGGAGCTGGCATGGAGACGTGTTCAACCCCTGCCCTCTTAGTTTTTTCATGCTAACCTAGCTGCTGGCTCTCGGGGTGGCACAGCTGTACCCAGCAGGAAAAAAAAACAGACTGCTGCAGTGAAGGTGGTCCTCCCCCATTATTGATTTTTGCTTTCTTCTGTGCTCCAGGGGATGCTGCGGTAGCCCTGGAAAAGCCCACGCTCCCAGCTTCCCCAGATGAACGTGTGCGATTCTCCAGTAACCGGGCACTCCCCGTGGCAGCGGCAGTGCCCAGGCTGGGCTGGCTGGGTGCCCCCAGGGGTCTGGGCTTGCTGCCCCCGCAGGTAGGGCTGGTGCCTGCTACACACTGGGGGACATGAACCAGGACAGAACCTGAGCGGGTGGAAATTTGGGGTCCTCATTCAGGCCACCCTTGTTCTTCATGTCGACTATGGTGCCATGGGCATCAGCGGGCTGCGGGTGGTGAACAGTGCAAGACAGGACTCCAACCACTTGCGAAGGGGCATGGGGTCATTTTTGTCCCTGATAAGCTTGGCTGAGGGCATTTCAGCCCGTTGGTGCCTCTCACCCCATGGGAGCCATGCCTGAGTTGGGTGAGCTGCAGAGAGCCTTAGGGAACGGGCCAGTTTTCACCTCTCTCCATCTCCAGTGCAGGTTTGTGATACACTGAAGTGTGCTCTGGGTTCGATCAGGGGACACAAGTAATTCAAATAGCTCGGCAGTGTCCTGCTCTGGCCAAGAGCACTGTACATTTGCCTCATCTCAGGTTAAATGGTGCACCAAGCTGTCCTCTGCTGAAGCAGGCAGGGCTGGGAGGTGTTGCTCCAGCCACCTCTAAACCCCCAGCACCTTTGCTGGCTGAAACACCATCTCCTTAGCAAAGGAGGGAATCAACTGCTCTGGTTTTCAGAGCTTTCTGGGCTAGTCGTAGTCACTCTGTTGTTGTGACGATTGCCTCATACCCCTGAAAGCATCCCAAGCAATAAGGCAGGTCCTGGGCAAGGGTTCCCACACCTGGATGCTGCTGAGCTGGCCATGCCATGACATGGGGACTTCATAGCAAATACATGCAGGGAGAAGAAGCTGAGAGGCTGCTCAGCTGGGGAGGGCAGGAGGCACAGTATTGGCCTAGGAAAACTGAGGGCGAATGAAAAAATAGCTTTGAACTGGAAAACTGAACCTACTTGCTGAAGGTTTGATTTTCTCATTACTTCCAGCCCAGGAGCAGCTCCAATGAAGTCTGTCCCAAGTGCTGTGCCAGCAGCTTTGCAGGTGGCTGGGCTTTAAAGTCCAGCTGGGACTTGTGTGATAGAGAAATGTAGCGTCAGAGAAAGCACAGGTTCAGACGTCCACTGATGCATTGTGTTCTCAGTGGCTGCGTTGCATGTGGGGACCAGCCAGTTTTCTAGGTCCCGTGTTGGCAAGGGGAAACCCTGAGAAGGTGTAAGGGACGAGGCCTAAGTGACTGTGCTGAGAGCACAAATGCCCCAGAGAAAGCTCCAGAAGCCAGCCACGGGGAGGGGCCCAGTGTCACTCTCCTCGACTGACTAATGTCTCAACCACTCCTGAAGCTGGGGTGAGAGAAGATTCCAGAAACCTTGGACTGGGGCCAATAAATAGGGGCGCACATGAGCCTCCTCGGGGCGCTCTCCACACTGACACCCCCCGTCGGCAGGTCCGATGCTGGATCCAGGATTGGTGATATCTCTCTCTCTCTCTCTCCTGCTTCCCAGCTCTCTCTTTCTCTCTCTCTCCCCTTCCTCCTTCTTGCTCTCTGCTTTTGATGCTGCTAAGTGACACAAGGCCTACCTCAACTCCTCATAAAGCCGCTTAGCTTGTATGACATATTAAGACACAGAGGGTTGATGCTTATAGAAGTGTTCGTGCCATTAAAGTCGATGTTCGAGTTTGGACCTTGAGTGTTATCTCACCTTAACCCACACCGAGGGGATTTGCGGACCTTAGTCACTCACCCCTTCTTGTAGGTGGGATGCGACAGAAGGGCTGGGGTCTCACGCTGCGGGTACAACCCTGGCAGGTGCTGGGATGGACTGGGATGCTGCGTGGGTGGAGACCATGTCCCTCTTCTAAATCCTCGCTGCTGATGCTTGTCCTTCTGGGCCAAGATGTGGGACATTACAGAGCCTTTCAAGTCCTCTCAGGCTGATGAAGCAGTAGAAGGTGAGGAGGCCTGACAGACAAGGCACCGCAAGGCAGTGAACGTGTGTGCCCATGCCACCTTCTTCTGCAAACTTACCTCAGGTAAGGTGGAAACAAGCTCCTCACTGTCGGTAAAATGTGCTGGCTGGGAGACATAGTCATGTCAGGGAGAAACCTTGACGTGCCAAACTCTTCCCAAACTACTGCATCTTTACTGAGCTAAAACGTGACACAGGCACATCACTTGTCATTCTGGTGTTGGTCTAAACAGCATGAACGTGTCACTGGGAAGGTGGCTGGTCTCTGTAGGGAGTTTCTTGCGTGGTTCACACCAGCTCTGTTTGAAGTTAAGCATTATATAGGTATTCCTACACAATGCTACAGTTTGTTAGCTCTTTATCTGGTTCTGCATGGTTAAAAACTCACCTACTGTTTGTACCCACGTGTCGGTTACTGAACACGTGCATTTGTATAAACTCACTGTCAGTCAGTCTTAAATCACTTGGACTAGTTTTCCCCTGAGAAAACAAGGGAATGGAGATTGTCTCCAGCACCAAATCGGGGTTTCATCCCGGAAACCTTGTAGTGCCCAACACTTGTGACTTGTTCCTGCCACTACTCCATATAATTTATAATGAGCCAATCGTCCTCCACTAGCATGTGCTGTCCCATGCCCCTTCTCAGCAGCAGCCTCTGCTGTCGCTAGCCTACCCTCCTCATGCTGACTTGTCCCTGAGCTTGGTCATCGTGTCGGTTGATGTGTCTGCCAGGTATCAGCTCTTAATTGCTGAGCTGCTTTACAGTTAGTGGCCAGTTAGCCTCAACATGGGTGGTGTGTTTTGGGATGGGGACACCATGCTCCCTGGGGTCTAGCCCCAAGCCCCATGGAAGCTGTGCATGCCAGGCTGCAGCCATCAGCTTCTGCCTCTCTGGCAATCCCATTGGAGAGCAGGGACATGAGTTGGGCTGGATGCAAGGAGTGGGGTTGGGATGTGCTATCCAGACATGTGGCATGGGACCTTTCCTGGAAGGGTAGGACTGCACATGGTCTGGGGAAACTGGGGTTCGTGCTGGGCTGATGCCAGCTTCTCTGCTTCCCCAGGCAGAGCGGGACTGAGAAGGGTTTGCCGACTTCCCTGGGGGACGGCCATGGCCTGAAGGTTGGGATTATTGGTATTATTGGTGGGGGCTACCTTGGGAAGCAGCTGGCCCAAGCGCTCCTGACACTGAGCTGGGCTCCGTGCCCCAGTAGCTGTGTTTCCACTAGGCGCCCTGAGAGCCTCGGTAAATGCTCCCCAGCCTGGGCCTGGAAGTGGCACTGCACTTATGTGGACTTTTAACTGCATTTTTTGCATAGCACTTCAGGCAGAACTCACTAAAAAATGTTTTTCTGCCAAAAATATTGAAGGTATGGAATCTCTATTTTTTTAATTGGGAAGCAGAGGATGCTGTTGTAGAAAAGATCTTTATTTGGTTGGAAACCCACTGTCCACCAAACATTAATTTAGTTGTTTGCTTTTTTTTACCAGTCCCATCTGAGTGGTGGAGTCATTAACCCTGTTCTTTGAACACTGGCTAGTTTAAGGCCTGTTTTAGTTTAGTCCCCCCATTTTTGTAGCTCTTCAAAATTCTCCTTGTCATTTGCCAAGAGCCTGGTCGATGACTGAGACTCCAGGTTCTTAAATATTCACCCAACAGAGAAAACTTCTCCCCAAATGAGTGGCAGTGCTGAAACAGAGACATCCCTCTCTTTGTTTCATGACTGCAGGGTCAGTTGTAGCAGAAAAGCTTGTCGCTGGGCTCTGAACATTCAGCCGGGAGACAAGATCAGCCTGCAGCATTACAGCAACTGTTTGCATACAAACTGTCAACTGCCCTGTAAACTCTTATATAAAACAAGTGGGGAGAACGGTCCTCCAGGGAGATGTTTGGAACAATAAAATCCTCTTTCTAATCATCTCAGGGCAGAGAGGAAGCAGGGATTATTAAATGGCTTTTTATAGATCTTGAAAACTGGCCAGATCCCAAGGCTCGGCTGTTTCAGCTGAAGTCTTTAAATCAGCGTGCATGAGCTGGGGCCAGGCAGCCGAGGGAGCTGAGCTCTCTGCATGTTTATTCCTGGCAGAGAGGCTGCCTGCTCCGTGTCACTCTGCTGCTGCTCTTTGCCATGGAAGAAAGGTGATGGGCAGCAGCCAAAGTCCCTCCATGCCACTTTGGGCAGGCAGCCAGTGGTCCCAGCCTGGGAGTGGGGGTTTGTGTTTCACTTGCATGTGGCAGAGCACAGGTAACTGCGCTGCCGGTGCCCGGAGATGCTGGTCGGTCACCTGTGCTTGTTCTGTGGGCTCTTGAGACCCTTTCTCCTTGCTTGTCGCAGCAGACCTGCAGAAGCAGGGGCTCGCGTGCCTTTACGACAACACTCAGCTGGTGGCCTGGGCTGACGTTGCGTTCCTCTGCTGTCTTCAGTCGCACGTGCCGTCCATCTGCTTTGTCATTCGGCCTGCCATCCAGAAACCGTCCGTTGTGTACAGCCTCGTCACCACCGTCCCTCTCCTCAGGTAAAACAGACCATGTCGTTTCAGACCCTTGGATGTGCTGCCATCATTTGGGACCTCACCGGGCAAGCACAGTGCGCATGGCTGTGCAGGAGCACAGCTCTTATTGCCTCTCACAATTTTATTGTGAAACGTCATTGCAAACCTTGTCATGGTTTGTCACTTCCCCAAGCCCCCAACTGCTGGAGTCACGGGAACACTTTAGAGTTTCAGCTTTCTGTTTGACTAGAGGAAGTTGTAGACTTTGTGGCTATAAACCTGAAAACATGATCAAAAGCAGTCAAGGGAGCTCCAGATCAAACACAATGCTGGCATCGAAACCCTGCTCCTCCAAGGGCTTCAGATTATCGCTGCCAGATAACCTGTTGTGAGACAGCGCAGGAAACAAGGTGCAAAGAAGCAGCCTGCAGTCTCCACGGTCAAAAAAACAAACTCAGTGCATCGTGTTTCACTTTAAGCTGCTGCTGTAGCTCTCCTGAGGGCTCTGAGTGCAGGGGTATGACCTGTTCCCCCTGCTCCTGACCCCTGGCGGTGCCCAGCCCCTGCGGTCAGGCCAGTTCTGGCCTTCTGCTGAGGTGACCAGTAAGGGGTCAAATGTGACACTGCTCTTCATGCTATGGGTGAGGCTGTTTACTAGTAAAAGGTTTGCAGATCCTGCAAAGGATAACTCCTTCCTCCTCCTTACCAGCTAAACCTAGTTTCTCCCCATCAGCTGAACCTGAGTGATGCTGGCTGTTGATTGCAGGGCTGACAGAGGGCAGACAAGTAGTGGGTATCCAGCTGGAGAGGGGAGGGGAGGGGAGGGGAGAGGAGAGGA